CATTTGAGACTTTATAGCTTCTGTTGCCTCACATTTTATTTTTTGTTACTGTTTTTGGAGGCAACTTCTGCTTTGTAGGTCAGACTGGCCTTGAACTCACGTGGAGACCAGGCTGGCCTCCACCTCACAGTGACCCTCCTGCCCCAGCCTCCTGAGTGCTGGGATTACAGGCCTGCCCTACTCCTGGCTGCCTTACTTTTTAAAGCTGAGAATAATATTGCAAAAGAAGAAAAGGATCAGAGCAAGGGAAGCTTCTGGCATCTCTGTTTGCTTTATTCATTCTTTGTGCTTTGCTGTTTTATGATTTGTAATTCCTTCTGCATTCCCACATCACAGTGACTTCACCTTGAATTCAGATTTGAAGGCGGTAGACTGGCAGGTGTGCCGAGTGGCCCTGCAGGTACCTGCGTGGCGTATAGATTCTTACGCACGTGGCAGGGTTGGAGTGTGAGGTCAGTGACCAAAGCAGAAGGAACGGTGTCATTGCTGTCAGGGCCTGTGTCCCAGCTCTACACTCCCTTGGGTCAGAGCTCAGACAGTGAGCAGGTACCCTGCTTAGCTCACGAGGAAGGAGAGGGGTAGGCCGCGGCTCTTCTCTGGCCAGCGGAAGCCCTGCCCGAGCACAGAGTTGAGGCAGGCCACCGTGGGGAGCTCTGCTTCCAGTCGCGGGTGTGTCATTCTCCCTGGTCTCAGCGCCAGCGTAGCCTCCTGGAATGCCGTGGGCCCCCACGATACCTCACAGGAGGGTGGTTTAGTCAGCGAGTATCCCGTGTCGGGCTTCCCAGTAAAGCATTTCCTCCCCTGCAGGTGAGGGTTTCCAAATGTAGGCAGCCTAGAAATTCAGAAGTCAGCATGCACCTTCCACAAATCTCTCTTCCTTGAAAATCCTCTTGTGATTGTGAGCGCAAGCGTCACGAAGCTGCCTGTTCTGGCAGCAGCTTGTGGCGGCTGCAGATGGCTTAGCCTGCAGAGCTGTGCATGAAGTAGGAACGGTGACAGGCGTGGGTCAGGTGAGGCCGGTGGCCGTGGGCCCGGGTGGCGGTGGTGTGACTGGCACTTGTGGGAGTGGGAGTTGTGTCTTGAGTAACTAAAGCAACAGAAAGACAAACGGGCACACTTAGACCTAGAGTGAAGGAGAATCATGGTTTATTTTCTCAGCTGTAGATCATATACTTCAAACAGCGTTATGTTCTATTTTTTAACATCTACCTAACTAGAAGATCGTGTGGTTTGTTTAAGAACCAGACTGACTGTAGTTCTTATTTGCCTTGTATCTGTAGAAGGCTGTGGTTGTGAGCAAATGGGCCTCACTCCCTCCTTCCCCTGGGGACCAGTGTGGCTGGGCGTGGCCTCTCCTCCCGCGCTGTGCTCTGGGGAGCCCAGGAGGGGCTTCGGAGGGCAGAGTGCGGAGACGCCTGATCAGCGGGCTTGTTGCAGTCTGGGGTCTACGAAGATAGCAGCTTTGTGAGAGTTGTCCTTTCTTACCGGGGGCGACTGCCTGCGTTTCCCCTCCCTGCAGCCGGCTTCATCCGGGAGATGGCAGGGCCCCGGGCAGCTCCAAGTCAGACTTGCCCGTGTTGTCACCTTCAGACTGGAGCCGCTTGTCCCTTCTGTATTCCGCTGGGTGACAGGTCATGCTTCCCTTCTCTCCTGAAGGTCCTTTGTGTGCTCACGTACAAAGTACAAGTCTAATCGTCAAAGGAGACGAGCACTGAAAGGGCCTTGAGCTTCTCCAGGAGTGGCCCTACACCGTGGCCAGTGGCTTGTGTGACCCTCTTGGTGACCCAGGGGTGAAGCAGGTCCAGCGTGGTGGTGCCACAGACGGGCCTGCCCTGAGGCTCATGAACTCGTCTTGCTTTGTGCTGCTCTCTAAGGAAGTCGCCATCACCCCGAGCGACCAGACCCTCTTCCCTGATGCAGACTGGCTGCTGGGTAACCATTCAGATGAGCTCACGCCCTGGGTCCCTGTGATCGCGGCCAGGTGAGGAGGAGAGGAGACGCCTGGGAAGTGGGGGTCTTGGCTTTCCCCGGGCTGTCCAGCGTGGGGCCACCCTGGAGGTGGGGCGAGTTCAGTGTGCTTCACTGGATGCATGGGTTAAGTTTAAAGGAAATGTCACGTCGGCCCTTGCTGTGGCCACCTGAGTTTCTGTTTCATAACTAGATTTCAGGCTACTTCATAAAACTCAAAGCACAGCTTACAAAAACAGCTGGTGGGAGTATACCTTTCGAAAGTAAGCAGGTTTCTGTGACTGAGAGGCCACACCACGCTGCATCACGCTTGCGGTTCGGCTGGGAAAGCGCAGATGCATTTGCCATACAACGGATGGAGCAGACGTGCTTACGTCGCCCCGCACCCTTGCCACACAGCCCCATGCTGCCCGGCAGCCCGCTCACGCCTGTGTGTGCACTGGTCCTCTCCCAGGTCTTCCTACTGCTGCCGGTTCTTTGTGCTGCCCTGCTGCTTCTTCGACTTTGTCGGCAAGTACCGCCGCAGGCAGAGCCAGAAGACGCAGTACCGCGAGTACCTGGACTTCATCTGGGAGGTGGGCCAGGCCTGCGGCTTCCACGTGGAGGAGGACTGCCTTCGCATCCCGTCCACCAAGCGGGTACGGCGCTGTGCAGGGTGTCTGCTTAGGGCCAGGCACAGAATTGCTTTTGATTCTGTACTGCCGTTCCCTTCCCCGTCGTTGGGCGGGTTGCCAGTGGCTGGGTCTCTGAGCCCCGGTGTTCTCACATCTGGATGGCAGAGCGGGTGTGAGCGTGGCATACTTGGCAGTGCCGCTGGGGCTGAACTCATGCACCAGCTGCTGCTCTGCTCCCGACGCAGAGAAGCTGATGTCAGATAGAGAGGGTGGCGGCAGGGTCGGAGAGTGGCTCTGATACAGACCGACTTTCTTCGATCAGCCACTCCCTAGCTCTGTGGCTCATGCCCAGATGGAGTGCAGAAGATGGCCCCGGCAGCCCTTGGGGACAGAGGAGAGTGGTTCACACACACGGCCACCTTTCTGTACCGGGCATCCTGCAGGTGCCTGGAACCCTCACCGCAGCAGGTTAAAACAGCCCATCCTCTCACAGCCCCTGCTGGCCCCTCTAGAGTCCTCTGTGGTGGTGTACTGCCCCAGAGCAGTAAGAGTGGACACCAGGGACCTGGTCAGAGCATGCAGCCACTGAGCGTGGGTACGTGAACCCCAGCTTGGACACCCTCCTGTGAGAACTGTGAAGGTCTTTGTGCTGAGGTTGGCTGTTCACTTTTGCTGCTAGTTCTTTTAGGGCAGCAGGTATGGCTCAGCAGTAGAGATTGACTCACCTCATGTGCCAGGCTTTGGTTCATGCCTTTTGTTTTTTGGTAACAGATGTTGCTGTAACTTTTACGTAATCTGTACTGCAGGACAGAAGAACTCCAGGAGAACACTGGCTTAGCATGTGAGCCTGCTAAGACACTTGCTCTTGCAAATGCAGGTCTGCCTCATTGGGAAGCACAGGACGTACCCGCCTGCTGCAGAAATCAGCATGGATGAGCAGCGCACTCGGTACATTCGTAGCAGGCAGGGCCTGTCTGGCAGCGACCCCTGCTGTCCTGTACCCCGGGCTGCTGCCTGCAGTGCCAATTGCCTGGATGGCAGCAGAGCCTCAGACACGGGGGCTCAGTGTGACCTCGAGGTCCCCATTCCTCAGCGTGGGGCGCAGATGCAGGCCAGGGGACTCTGGATGCCGGAATTCCACCCTCGAGAAAAGATGGAACACGTGAAGAACTGTGCCACCCTCCCTCGAGAGTTTACCAACCAAGTGGTTTTGCAAGTGGCAAATTTATTGTTAGACGGAAAGAAGTCGAGCACAGGAAGCCCTGAGCAGGGCACCTGGAAGACCTGGAACGGAGGAGGTAGGCCACCCGGCCGGGGCTGCGCCTGTGTCACCAGCAGGCCTCTGGGTCCTTTGCTGTGCTGGAGCCCGGAGGCGGCGTAAGGCCGTGCTGCCTGGGGAGGAGGCTGGGCGGGCTGCTGGGCCAGGGCTGCCCATTTTCAGTGTGCAGCAGTTCTGAGGCCAGAACACGCGCTCCTCAGTGCGGAACGCGCCCTTCTGGAGTGCATGGCTGGAATTTGGAAATTACGTATCTTGATATCCGTGAGATAGCCAAATGCAAGGGTTTGTTTTGATAAAAGGAAACAGTTGCGTCTGATTGTTCTCGTGCACATCTAGTGCCGCTCAAGAGTGCGGGGCTGAAGTCGCTGTCACACTTGCTGGAAAGCTGACTGCAGTGCTTGAAAGCCTTCAGGCCTCCCCAGGAGCCGGGCCTTTTCTGGGACAGATGCTGGAGTTGTGGTTTGGCCGCCAGGGGGCAGTGTGGGGCCGTCCGCAGAGCCA